GGATATAATCATTACAAGATTTTACATCTACGGAAATTTTGTCGTTTACAGTGCACCATGCCAACCCAAGAATTTTTTGCTCTGCTATGCCTACTTCCTCTGTAGAAACCTCTCGCCTTACGTCCACGTCGTTAGAGTTCCATTTTNGCCAACCCAAGAATTTTTTGCTCTGCTATGCCTACTTCCTCTGTAGAAAGCTCTCGCCTTACGTCCACGTCGTTAGAGTTCCATTTTCTTAAGTTAAATTTCGCAGCTTCCATCACGGTTTGAGCTTGTTTAGCAACATGCATTGCTGCTTCTTTGCTTGGTCCGCTGAATATAAAATCGTCTACGTAAACGACGCTTTGAGTTTTTCACACAGCACGCTATGACTTTTTAAGCTTTCATCCAAATGATTACGTATAGTGCTAGCTAATAGGAAAGGGCTGGATGTTATGCCAAATGTAACCCTAGTCATACGATAGATTGCCAGATCTGGCTTATGTTGATCTGCGCTTGGACATGACTTGTACCATAAAAAACGATGGGTATCTCTGTCAGCTTCATCCAGTAAAATCTGAAGGAATGCTTTCTCTATATCGCCCACCACAGCGATACGATTTGCCCTAAAACGTAGTAGCATTGTGAATAAGTCGGCAATGAGATTAGAACCTTCGCTAAGGTGATCATTCAGCGAAGTATGGCCGGATTCGCTCGAAGACGCATCGAAAACGATTCTCACTTTCGTTGTGCTTTTATTTTCTTTATAAACAGGTTTATGCGGCATGTAATAAATCGGCCTAGGAGACTCGATATTGGGCACAATTTCAGCAATTCCGTTGTCAATGAGGCTCTTAACCTCTTTGTCGTATTCTACAATTTTTGATTGATCTATTAGCATTTTCGTTGTCAAGGACTGTAATCGACGCACAGCTATTTGGTAATTATCCCGTAGATCTTCGCTCTTAAGCTTCCACGGTAGTTTAACAGAATATCGACCGTCCGCTTTCCGAGCTAGCGCTACTGAAGTTTCTTTGCAACTATTAATATTTACGATACCGATTGATTCAAGATTCCAAAATTGCTTGATATCAAATTCTATAGTTTTATTAGCTTCAGAATGCTCACTTTGTTTTAAAAATTTATTATTTTGTATTATTAATTCACTGTCTTGATTTCCTTCTGGTTCATTTTGTACACCTTTTGTCGTTTGTTTATTTTCATTCAATACCAGCGCTATTTGTCCGTTTTACCGCGATCAATTTCGCCTTGTAATGTCCACCCAAAAAATGTTTTTACCGCGAATAAGTTGCTGCTAATTTGTTTTGTTTCTGGAGTGTTGAACCTCCAATAATAATCTTGTCCGATTAATAAATTAATACCATGTAATAATTGTTCACTGCTTTTATTAGCGTCAGCTAACTCGTATTTTATTTGTTTACAGTTTTTGTTTTTTTATTTCGGTTATTTCGTTTGCCACTGACACTAAATCCGCGCAAATATTCGATACTACGATCGCCCGTATTAAAACTGTTTTGTCATTATATTGGCTTTGCAATAGGATTTGAACGCACTCATATTTAGTGGGTAATTTGTTTTTATTTTTGTCGCCAAAGCCGGTAATTGTTGTTTCTTCAACTCCACACGGTTTTAATTTCAGCATTTTTGCTACCTTTTCATGCACAAATGTACGTTGACTGCCGTTGTCCATCACTATTCTTGATAACACCCTTTTTGTATTACTCTCGCTACTTATGATGGCTTTCGCTGTTGGCAGTAAGTACTCCGAATGACCTTCGCTCGCTAGTGTGCTTAATGCAGCCGCTTTTTTGCTGTTGTCGCACATCTCTTTTTCAATACCTTCTGCTGCGTTTGGGTAATGATTCCTCTTCTCCCCCTCAGGCCCCTTCTCACGTCGTTCACACATCGTCGTTAGGTCTCGAAATCGCTGTTGTCTTTGTTTCAGGCAATCGAAAAAATTGTATTCTCATTTGCTTAGATAAGCATTTAAGAATAACGGATTTTACGGTGATCGTGTATTGAGCTGGGGTGACCTGGGGACGGACACTGTTCGAGTAGTTGACATCACCTGATTGTATAATGATCGTAAGCCCTGCACGTCGCTGGTAGTTTGTACTGGCTCTAAATTAAGAAGCTTTTGTACGTATTTCTCGATTATCTTTTCGGTATTTCCGTACTCATCTTGTAGCAGTGCTATGGCTTCAGAGTAACATTCCTCTGTGGGAGTGAATCCTTGAATCGTTGATGAAGCCCTGTCAACCAATGCTTCGCTCAAAAAGTTAAACTTTGCTGCTGATGAAAGAAAGCGGTTATCATGCACTGTTGGCTTGAATTGCTCCCAGAAGGGCAACCATTTTTCGATGCTTCCGTCGAATTTCTTCAGCTCAAGAGATTTGAGCTTAACTCCATGAGACGATTGCTCACCAGCGCCATTGGTGGACGTATTCATAGTATGCTCAAGTCGGCCTGCTAAACTCTTTTCGCGCGATTGCAACTTTGCAATAATTGTGATCGCCTTGTCGTCATAGTCTAGCACTGACTCGCATTCCTTCTCCATATCCTCCTGTTTTATTATTTTTCTCATGGCTACGTCCGCCTTTTTTAAATTTTCATGCGCATTCCTTAACCTGTGCAAGAGAGTCCCCACGTTTTCAAGCAATGTTTGTTTTTCACTTCATTTGGAAAAGTCTGTGTTTTCCAAGTACTCAGTAGCTTGATTAATAAG